AGGATGCCGGTTGATATTCAACAAGAACAAATTAAATACAATGTAGATAATAAAGAGATGTAACCAGCTGACAACTTAACATAGTGATGTGTCTAATTGGATCTTAAACCGGGGGCTTAATGATGTGTCTAATTGGATCTTAAACCCGATTGGTCCATTAAAGGCCCAATTAAGGGAAAACTCCAATTAGAGCACCACTTCTATAATTTTCTCCCACATTGAATCTCTACAAGAAGTTTCACACTTCTACACTTGTCCCACATCGAAAGTTTACAAGAAACTAATAGTCAAGTCCTACTATAAAGACAAGGTATGATTCATTTGTTGAGGTATCTCTAATTTGGGTGATATTTTAGCCTTTGCAAAGTATCACTTCCAATACCTGACTTGAGCGTCGGAGTGTAATCGCCGGGGCCACCCCGGCGAGTCACTTAGTGTCTTGATTTGTTTTGTAGGTTATTCGGCGGGCCCACACCTTTGACCCCTTTGGACACGTGGCAAGGACCCTCGGCATTTCCGATATTGGGCTTGAAGATTCCCGGACTTAAGAGACCAGTGGGCTTCAAGACCATTGGGCTGACCCACCATTTTGGAGCAGCATCATTTTGGCGCCGTCTGTGGGAATGCGTACCAGATCACGTGGCATGGAAGAAGGTGGTCGAAGGACGGATGGATTCCCTCCCCAAGAAGGCCCCGAGATCCCGGATCCCTCCCGAAGGGCACGGATGACGGGAGCTACAAACCAACCAGGAGGGCCCCCGCCAGTCTTGCAGATGAGGACGGAAGAATGGGAAGCCTTGATAGACCAAGTGGCAACGAAGGCAGCAGCGGCGGCAGTGGCGCATTACCTAGTCACCCAAGGTGTAGTCCCAGAAGAAGAACCGAGCCCGGTAGCCGGTGACCTGTTGGGGCCTCACCCAAACCACCCCGCCTCACCTATCGTGGAGCCTTACCATTCGGAGGAAAGAGTGTCATTGGGAGACCGAAACTTTCCCTCAACATCTGCTAGGAATGCCCAACGGCGGACGCCTCACCTTAGCCTTTTGCCGGAGCAAGTGCCTCGAAGGAACAATCGCCGTTGGTCGCCACCATTTAATGTCACCGTAGATTACTCTCTTCAAAGGGGCGACCATCAACGTAGAGCACACTCAAGGGGACAAAAGGAGCGTATGCGTCGAGAGGAGAAAGGCGAAAAGAGACGCCACCATCCCAACCACCGTGGAGGCCCTGATCAAGGCGAAGACGGTAGCAGAATGTCCCAACACAAAGAGAGAAGCCGACGTCGCACAAGGGTTGACGACGACGATGCAAGAAGCCGACGGACGAAGGCAAAAGAGTCGGCGTCCCTTGCCCTGGTGAAAGCGCTTCCGACAAGAGTAAGCCCATTTACCCCGGCCATTCTAAAAGAAGTCCTGCCCTTCGGGTTTCGGATCCCCGATCTTCCACAGTTCGACGGAACCGCAGATCCCCAAGACCATATAAATAACTTTTATGCCAAGGTCGATCTTTACGGCCTCACGGATGCGGCATACTGCAAGATCTTTCAAACTACCATGAGTGGCCAAACGCTAGGTTGGTTCAACAAATTGCCAGGTGGGACTATCGACGGATGGTCGCAGTTAGTGGAACAATTCCTTAGCCAATATTCCATCAACAAGAAGTACGCCAAGACCGGAACCTACCTTTTCAAAGTCGTCCAGCAAGAAAACGAGGCGCTCAGAGATTATATGCAACAGTTCTTTAGCACGGTGCATGAAGTATGCCACGTAAACCACGAGTTCTTGGCGGGGATCTTGATGAGCAACTTGAGGCATGAACGGTTTCGAGAGTCCCTTGCGGGCCGACCCCCCTCGACACTGGATGAGCTCATCGGTCGGGCCGAGAAGTACATTCGCATTGAGGAGGTTGCGGAGATGGGTTTGCCCGCGAGGGGAAAGCACGAGGAGAAGCACCCCGAGACGAGAGAGAGACAAGAAATGCGCCCAACGCTCACCTAACCTAACGCTCACGCCGCATAGCCATCAAAAGGATAGCGCCACAACACATGGATAGGCACTAAGGGCCAAAAACTTGAAGATCTTAAGAGCTTTCAAAAACAAGGCAGGGGCATGTAGCTCACCGCAATATATTATGTACTGTCAGCTACAATGATACTTGAATGTTTTAATCAGGGACATACTTCCCGCCGAACCTTTATCTAATTACTCATTATTTGTATGTATCTGCCGATCACTTTCGTTACCTTTCAACCCACTACTCGTAAAACTACAATTTACATACGTGATAACATATCGAAATTGAAATTTCGTTCCCTGAAACACCAAGAGAAAATAAAAAGACGGACTTCCCACAAGGCAAAAAGCCAAGGGATACCGCCTTTCTTAAAAAGATGAAGCATAGCTCACCCTTCACGAATGTTGGACTTCCCAATAGGCAAAAAGCCAAGGGATACCACATCGCCTTAAAAGATAAAGCTTAGCTTATACTTTGCGAGAGTCGGACTTCCCAATAGGCAAAAAGCCAAGGGATACGGCGTCGCCTTAAAAAATAAAGTTAACTCATTCTTCGCGAAAAGTGCACTTCCCACTAGGCAAAAAGCCAAGGGATACCGCCTTTCTTAAAAAGATGAAGCATACCTCACCCTTCACGAATGTCGGACTTCCCAATAGGCAAAAAGCCAAGGGATGCCACGTCGCCTTAAAAGATAAAGCTTAGCTTATACTTTGCGAGAGTCGGACTTCTCAATAGGCAAAAAGCCAAGGGATACCACATCGCCTTAAAAGATAAAGCTTAGCTTATACTTTGCGAGAGTCGGACTTCCCAATAGGCAAAAAGCCAAGGGATACGGCGTCGCCTTAAAAAATAAAGTTAACTCATTCTTCGCGAAAAGTGCACTTCCCACTAGGCTAAGCCAAGGGGTACTGCCTTGCTTAAAAAGATAAAGCGTAACTCATCCTTTACGAAAGTCGGACTTCCCACCAGGCAATAACCATGAGATATCGTCTTACCCAAAAAAGACAGAGTATAACTCATTACTTGCGAGAGAAGGACTTCTTGCCATTGATATTTTTGGAAAGAAAGTCGGCCATTGGCGTAACGGCCGGCAAAAAAAAAAAAAAAAAAAAAAAAAGGGTAGAGATAAAGAGATACGAGAGGAGTTGGTGTCTAAACACTCCATTAATACCAACCGACCCTCTCCGCCCCAAATCTTTTCCCATGGGCCATCTTCCAAGCTAGAATCCATGTCGGCCTCCGGAGCCGTACAAAACACGGCAAATGTTGTCTAAGTCTTTCCAAAACTCACCCCCAACGCCGCCGGAGCCGTACAAAAGACGGGAGAATTTTGTCCAAGTCCATCCCAATTACCCGACGGCTCGCTCATACGGTTTGATGTCGGCCAGAGCCGCAAACTCGGGTCGGCCGTCGCCCCGTTTACCCGGATCCCAACCCGACAACCCCCGACCCGCCGGCTCCCGGCCCGTCAACTCCCAACCCGTCGGCTCCCGGCCCGTCGGCTCCCAACCCGACGGCTTCCGGCCGACTACGTCGCGACCCGGCATCCCCCGGCCCGCTGGCTCCCCACCCGGCATCCCTCGATCCGCCGACTATGTCGCGACCCGGAGGTCCTCGACCCGACGGCTTTCGGCCCATTACATCGCGACCCGAAGGTCCTCGACCCGACGGCTTCCGGCCGACTACGTCGCGACCCGGAGGTCCTCGACCCGACGGCTTTCGGCCCATTACATCGCGACCCGAAGGTCCTCGACCCGACGGCTTCCGGCCGACTACGTCGCGACCTGGAGGTCCTCAACCCGACGGCTTTCGGCCCATTACATCGCGACCCGGAGGTCCTCGACCTGACGGCTTCCGGCCGACTACGTCGCGACCCTAAGGTCCTCAACCCGACGGCTTCTGGTCCACTACGCCACGACCCGGAAGTTCTCGACCCGACGGCTTCTGGCTCACTACGTCGCGACCCGGAGGTTCTCAACCGAACGGCTTCCGGCCCACTACCTCGCGACCCGGAGGTTCTCGACCCGACGGCTCCCGGCCTACCAAGGTTGAACGCGACGGCTCCTGGCTAGCCAAGCTCGGACCCGACTCAAGAGTCTTCCCGAGGGCACCCAACCGGCCACTTCGTCATCCCCACCGCCCAACCACCACTCACTTTCATAGCGCCACCACTCCTCAAAGCGCGCGTACGAGAAGCGGACAAATTTCGTCCTAATACGCCCAAGAAAACCCCATGCCCTCCGGATCACCCGCCGTAGCGCAAATAGCCCAACTCTGGAGGTCACGGAGCAACAACTCCAAACTCCTACTTATCTACTACTCCCAAGCCGGCCCACGGACCGTGGCCCAATTTGGGAGTGGGGGGCTTAATGATGTGTCTAATTGGATCTTAAACCGGGGGGCTTAATGATGTGTCTAATTGGATCTTAAACCCGATTGGTCCATTAAAGGCCCAATTAAGGGAAAACTCCAATTAGAGCACCACTTCTATAATTTTCTCCCACATTGAATCTCTACAAGAAGTTTCACACTTCTACACTTGTCCCACATCGAAAGTTTACAAGAAACTAATAGTCAAGTCCTACTATAAAGACAAGGTATGATTCATTTGTTGAGGTATCTCTAATTTGGGTGATATTTTAGCCTTTGCAAAGTATCACTTCCAATACCTGACTTGAGCGTCGGAGTGTAATCGCCGGGGCCACCCCGGCGAGTCACTTAGTGTCTTGATTTGTTTTGTAGGTTATTCGGCGGGCCCACACCTTTGACCCCTTTGGACACGTGGCAAGGACCCTCGGCATTTCCGATATTGGGCTTGAAGATTCCCGGACTTAAGAGACCAGTGGGCTTCAAGACCATTGGGCTGACCCACCATTTTGGAGCAGCATCACATAGTCATAGCAGTAGATTTCAGCAAGCACGGTGTCGCTGTTTGCTGGTCTCTCTCTCAATATATAATATAATATATATATATATATATATATATATCAATGATTATATAATAGATAGGCCTCTTAATAATATATATGATGCAACAATTCCAAATTAAGCACATGATAATAATAATAATAATTGAGATCATATGTCTCTGTCCCTCTTGCACTCTGCGGGAACAACGGGGTACCTGACCCGATCGGCGCAGTAGTTGTAAATGGTGTACTTACTACGAACCCAACGGAGACGACTCCATTGGGATGCATCAAGGTCTTGAAATTCCTTTTGATCCCACCAACGCCTACCCTGAGTGTTGCAGAACTTGGCCTCAACGGACGCCTCACAACCGTCGATATGGAACCCTTTGTACGATGCTGTGAATGGCGCCTTTGACCAATCGGTCTTCTCGAGCCCGCCTCTTGTCGCCCAATCATCCGCATTCCACAAACTCGAGTATATTTTCATCGGCTGGTTGAACGGAAACTTCACTCCCAAATCCTTGCTGTTTTTGAACACCCTGATCGGAACATCGTCAACCAAGAATCTGCAGTTCAATCAATTAAACTTTAGCCTTTTGCAAATACTTTTATTTGAACAAAAGCAACTTTTACATGTTTTTTTTTAGTTCAAAGTTTCTATATGTATTCCTCCATCAAAGGGGAGGATAATAAGGAGTAATGGCCCCCCAAATCAAGTCAAAAGCAGCACATGGTCTGGACTATTTAAAATAAATAGAAAAATAAATATCCAACATGTGGCAGATACAAATGGAAGCCATCTATTAATGGCTATTACAATTTACATAGTTCAATTAAATTCCAGCTATTAAAAAGAGAAACCGAATCTGGTCGGTCCCCTTTATTTCACGTGACATAGAGACCTCTAGTCAAAAGGATGTCTCGATTATGTAGAGGTCAAGAGACAGTAGTATATATTGTGCAATTATTATCTTTTAACAATAATGTAATAATTGTAAGTAATAAAAAGAAAAAAAAGGCAGTAAGAAAAAGGGAAGAGGAGTAAAATTACACAATCTGGTAGAGATTCCACAAGACAGAGTAGGTGTGGAAATCTTGAGTTGGGTCGAACCAAAGATAAATCCTCTGCTCTTTGTCTCCTTTGCCACCAGTGTATACATTGGTCTGCAATATGTATGGCTGCCCACTTCTGTTCCCCAAGAACTCGAAGTCTATTTCATCGTGCTCTGAGTTTTGCGAAGACAGCTGATCATATTTATATATATAGAGAGAGGAAATTAAACAAATTAAACAAACTAAACAAACAATAACCAATTATTCAGAAACACACACACAGAGAAATCAGTATGTACTTACATAGAAAGCAGTAACAGTGCCAGCAGAATCTCCAGCAACCATCTTAATGTGCATACTGAAATGCCCAAATAGGTATGAACCCTTTGACTGGAATCCACTACCTGTATTATTAATATTATTAATAATACATAAATAATAATAATAATAAAAAGATGAAATATAGTAAGTAGTTTAATGGTACCAGTGGATTTGTCAAGAGAGAGCTGGATCTGAGAGCCGCCATTGAAGTACTTGATATGATCAAAGGCCCAAGTAGGCATGTAGTTCCTACCAAATGCCACGTCAACTGGCTTCCTTAGAGGAGCTCCATTCGCCACCATTATTAACATACCTATACAAACTGCCCACAGGTAATCATCATTACCCATTCTTTTTTCTTTTCTTATTTCTCGGCAAATGCAAATGCAAATGTGGATAAGTGAGTATTTTCAGTGTGAGTGAGAGAGAGAGAGATGAAAGAAACAGAGGAGTTGAGTGCTCTTTATATAGGCGTATATCCTCCTCCTCCCTAGTTTCTCTAATCAATCAATTATTTTTACATTTTAATTTTTAAATAATAATAATACTACTACCTCCTTATTATTGTTACCTGTCTGTGTGTCTCTGTGTGTACAACAAAAGCTATGACATCCACACGCTTACCCAGTGACCCCAAAACCCAAAATAATTCAAATTTTTTTTTTTAATAATAATAAAAAAAGACAAAATTAATTAATTAAATTGCCACAAGTATATCTTGAAAATATATATTATTGACCTGTGCAACATGACACGTGAATCTGTTGAAACTTTGAATGAGATTTGTTATGCTTATATATTTGCTATATATATATATATATATATATATATATATATATATATATATATATATATATTTGTATGTGTGTGTGAATTAATATTGTATTTATATATGGGCATTTTTAGAGGCAAGCATTGTTAATTTGTTACAGTATTATGAAATATTTGATATTATTGTATGAGTGGTAAGAAGTGGCAAGGAATAGGTTGAACATAACTTAGAAAATGGTGACTCATATTGAACCAAATGTATGTTATCTATTTATTTGTACTGAAGCTATCGCAACAATTGACAGGACATGGGCCTCGTGTTGTTTCACTTTCAATAATTCCAACTTTTCTTTGGCAAATAACAAGTCCAAGGAGAATGAATCTTATTTTATATATATTTCTATTTCATATGTAGATTGTCATGCAGTTAGATTTACTTTTTGTTTTTATACACATCAACATTGTTGTCTACCTTTTTCAAAAAAAAAAAAAAAACATTGTTGTCTACCGTTTTTAGTGTAAATAAATTATAACAATCACCTAATGCAATGCATCGTTTGGTTGGAGAGATTAGTTGCGATTAACTAAATAGTAAGACTTTATTTGATGTTTGGTATCTCAATAACTTATCGAATCGACCCACAAATATTATGTAATCATGACTTATCTTGCCGTCTAGTCATATTCTTTTAATCATCATCGAAGTTTTATTAATTTTTTTTAATTTTATTTTAACTAATATTATATTGTCAACCAAAACGAGGCATAATTAATCTCCCAGCATGGAATAAACCAAACATGAAGTATGTCTTTATCTATACCATTTGGTGATTTGTAACAGTAATAGCTAGCCCAATAACTGGTGTATGAACCTCGATTCAGTTATTATTATATTGAGACTAAAACAAAATGAAAATTATTAGTATTTTTTTTTTTGATCCATAAAAATTATTAGTTTTAGTATGGTAAGATATGGAATATAGAAAGAATTAGGGGTTAATAAAATAGGTCCAAGAATAGAAGTTCATTTGGTTAAATTATTTTTGGGGGGGGGGGGGCCAGGGGGAAATCCCCCCGGGGGGGGGGGGGGGGGGGGGTCCCCAATTCAATTAGCAGTCGGCACCACCCAATGGCAATGCCATGCTTTATTTGTCTTTCTGCTTCTTCTTTATTCATCCAACAGTCTGCACTAATTTGTATTATATAATGTGTAGACGTATACCATTAACAAAACGGGTGGGTTGCCTTCCCAATAATCGATTCCTAGCTGCTGCATTCATTCTGACGCGGTTTTCTTGCCACTCCCATTAATTTTATTTGGGTGCAAATTTAGACCCGATGGTCTGTTTAAATAAGAAAATTGGATGCCATAGAATGAATGATACGTGGATAATTTAAATTAAAATATAATTAGTATTCTAATAATTGGAAAAAGAAAAAGAAAAAGGAAAAAAGAAAACCCCAGCAGAACCCGTAAACCCTCTAACCCTAATTATAATAGCGTGGTTTATTAAGAGTTAGACTTAAAAGTGCCACATGTCAAAAAATTAGTGGAATCCGATTTATATTAAATATCGGCTCATCCGCTCAGAATTTAATCTCATTTGATTTTACTATACTTTTTATACTAATTCTTTGAATTTCTTTCTTTTTCAAGAAACTCATATTTTTATCTTTTTTATACCGACGCGGATAAATTATACTAATTAGAATAATCATGTATGACAAACTCGACGTAGAGAAATAGTGGTAACGAATTTCGAACTCCAGGTATTTTTGACAAGTGATCTACTGTGCAACCCACTAGGCCGCCTCTTAGGGGAAAGCTTGAATTTTACATTTGGGCTTCTGGTTCCAATTTTTTTGATGAAAATGTTTAAGGGAAATAATTGAAAATAACGTAATATATGTTTGTATTTTGAAAAGAGACAATATACTATAGCAGTCGGTCATATCATGTCTAATAAATGCTGGAAAATGTATTTTTTAAGAGGAATTTAAAACGGAAAGTAATTTTTATTTGTGTTTTGGTAAAGATAGTTTTTACTTTAGTAGACGAATCATAATTGCAGGGAGTGAAACTTTTGATTTTTTTTTGGGGGGCAATTTGCTATAGGTCTCTCCATATTATGATTTATGTGTATAAATCCAAGTCAAAATTCCCATATTTTAATAAATTAATAATATATATTAAGGCAAAAATACCCATAAGTCAAATCAAATCAAATCTCAAAAAATCTCTCTATCAAAACAAATTCTCAAATATCTCTCTTCCAAATATTAACTAATAAATTAAATTAATTCGTTAAAATAATATTTTATTTATTTTACAAACTCATATTCTAAAAATGCCACCGCCGCTGCACCACCGCCTATGACTCCGTGAACTCCGACTCACTCTGTTAACTCCAAATAGCAAACTGAAATTTAAAATTTGTATTATTGAATTGCAAACAATAAAATACGTATGATTTCGCCAAATGCAAACAACAAACTGGATTTTTTTTGTCAGAATTTTCATTATTGAATTGCAAACAAAAAACTACCTATAACTTTCCAAAATACAAATAACAAACTGTAAAAAAAAATCAATTGCAAGCAATAAACTACTGATGACTTCACCAAATGCAAACAACAAACTGAGAAAAAATCAGCATCATTAAAAAACATTAACAAAAAAATTGTTCATGGAACACGTTGCAAAACAACAAAAACATTAAACGAAGTGTTTGTAAAAATATAACTTAAAACATACCTTACAAATTGTAAACCAGAGGAATTGAATCTCAACACCCAACGCAATTCTTCAAATAACAAACAAAGTTAACCTGCAAACAGAAATTGCTAACAACAAACGATGAAGGTTCTACATACAGAAAACTGAATGCCAATTTTGGCTAGGGCTTTGAATTTCTGATTTTTTTTTGGGAGTGGAGAGGGGATGTTTGTTGTCTTCCTTAATAATTTCACCAATAAATCATCTCATAATCTATTTTTTTCTCCTTCTCCATAATATTTCTTCATAAGAAAAAAAAAAAGAAAAAAAAAAGAAAAACATGGAAGAACGACAGTGAGAGACGCGTGAGATACAGAGTGAGAGATTGAGAATTAAATATAGGGTGGGAGAAACGTGAGATTGGAGAGAGAGAGATTGTGAGATTTGCTTTCTTATTAATTGGGGGTGTTTATGTCTATATTCTAATAATTTTATTTTATTTATATTAATTTTTTTTGGTCAAATGATCTATGCCTATATTCATCTAGCAACTAGGATCTCTACCTATATAAGTCCAAAATAAGGGGTGTCTAGCAAATTTCCCCTTTATTTTTTTCCATAGAATTCCAAACACGGAACAAACATAGCCTTCTAACTGAGTTGGTATTAATGATGTAAATTACTGATTCATATCTAATAAGGTTTTTTTATTAGGGGTGATTACAAATAAGCCCATCAATGGGTACTTATTTATAAAGAGATCCAGACATAAATCTCCTTTACCAATAAGTTCACATATGGTCCACATTTTTTTAAAGGACTAAAATAACCCCTCTTATTTTAATGTGCTCCAATTTCATCATTAACTTAATTTAATCTTAATTTGACTCCAAATTTCACAAATTATTCAATTTTGACCCAAATCTTTTTTTTCAAAAAAAAAAATTCAATTTTTTTTCCCGCCATTCTCCAGCGTTGACTTTTCAAATTTTTTTTCGCCGGTCTCCGGCTTTGATTTTTTCGTTTTTTTTCTTTCTTTCTGTAACTTTTTTTTTCATTTAAACAACAATATTGATGTCATTGACAGTAATATTAACTATATTACTGTTAAACACAATAAGTTAACTAAACTACAGTTTAACACAGTAATATTGCTATATTAATCTCTAGCACAGTAATATTAACACAACAAAACTCATTATTATTGTGTAATAGAGTAATATTACTATGTTGACCGTTCAACAAATGTAAACATAATAAAAAGCCAAAACAATTAATATTACTGTAAGTGACAGTAATATTACTATAACAACAGTAATATTACCGTCAACCAAAGTAATATTACAATAATGGACAGTAATATTATTACGTTACTCCGTGAATAAGTCAAACAAACAAAAAAATCCAAACAAAATAATAATATTGATGTGGTTGACAGCAATATTACTATAACAACAGTAATATAACCGTCAACCACAGTAATATTATTGTGTTTACAGTAATATTACAAGTCTATACTGTAATATTATTACGTTACTACGTGAATAACTCAAACAAAACAAAAAACCCAAAAAAATAATAATATTGATGTTGTTGACAGTAATATTATTGTGTTTACAGTTATTTTACTGTCAACGACAGTAATATAATTACGTTGATTTGTCAACAAATTAAACCAAATAAAAAAAATAACAAAAAATAAAAAATAATAATATTACGTTAATTTACTGTCAACGGCAGAACAATTATATAAATGTATTGTCAACGGCAGTACAATTACGTTAATTAACTGTCATTGACACTACAATTACGTTAATTTACTGTCAGTGACAGCACAATTACGGTCAACGTTTAGCTGCGGACGTAAAAAAAAACAAAAAAAAACCTAAAAAAACACTAAAAAAAATCAACGTCGGAAACCGGTGAAAAAAACCGGAAGAAAAGAAAAGAAAAAGGAAAGAAAAAAAAAGTCAACGCCGGAAATCGGCGAAATAATCCGAAAGAAAGAT